CTCTCTCTCTCTCTCTCTCTCTCTCTCTCTCTCAAATAAATAAAAAAAAGAACAAGTAATTTGTATGTTTTAGCCAACATATATTGTGACTTTAGTCTGCTAATGAAAATGGAGAAATAAGAAAATGGAGTAGGTTAGGTCTTGCTCAGAAGGTGACACTTTTGCTAAAACATAAAAAGAAAGCACTACACAGAGACAGTGTATGGATTTCAGGCAGAGATTTGGAGGAAATGCAAAGAAAGATGACTAGTTGGGTTAGGAAGTGATAGAACCAGTAAGACACGATGATAGTAGAGCAAGACATGGTGAAAAATTATTCCTCACTTTATTAATCAGGAGAGGCCTATTTGATTTGAATGTTTTTCTTAAGTATAGTAGGAAAGAATTAAAGGATTTTAACACATTCCCACCTGCTCAAACTACTAATGGTACATGCATGACTGTCCTATCAAACAGCTTGTACAACTGCTGGTAGAAGTGGTACAGCCATGCATAGGACAACCATGCATGTATCACCAGTGGCTCAAGCTGTCCAACAGTGAAAATATGAATTGTGATTGTGTCATGAATATGTTTAAATGGACTGATGTATTCTAGTCCAATTTATGTTTTAAGAAAAGTAGAAATTTTTCATCTTTTTGCAAGGGGTGATGGTGTAGTGTACTAGCCCAACTAGTCACCAAAGTGCAGTGGAGATGGAGAAAAGGGGAAAATTTGAAATATATTTCAGATGTACATCTAACGAAACTTGGTAAATTTACTAATAGAGTACACATGTGTGAGAAATAAACGGAGGAATCATGGATAATATATAAGAAAGTGGTTGGTTGACAAGCTTGAGGAAAAAATTAAGAATTATTTGTGAGGTACACAAATTGAAATATTAATCAAGAAGCTGAGAATGCAAGGCTAAAGTTTGGAAAAGAGCTCTGGACTAGAGATATATGTTTGAAAATAACACAGAAATGGTACAGTATTTAAAATCCATGACAGTTGCTGAAATCATTTGTTCTTTAACTCTTTAGTAGAGTCAAAAAAGAAGAATCTAATATTGTAGTTGTAAATACATCTACCATTTAGAGGGTAGAAGAGGAAGAACTAACAAAGAAACCTTTCCCAGTCTTACCAGTGGATAATGGAAGAGAAGGGAATTAGAGATTAGTGTTATGAATACACAGTACTGCACAGAGATCAAGAAAAAGAGCTCAAAGAAGCACTCTGTGCATTTGGTATCAGAGATTTCCAGTGACCTGAACAAGAGTGTTTCCAGGGGAAGATCTGAAAAGAAGCCATAGAGGTAAGAGTTGAGGCGTGAATAGGGAATGAGAAAGTGAAAAGATAAGGTATCTAGATTATTATTTTTTAGGTTTGCTCATGAGGTAACCCAACATCTGGGCTAGAAACTAGAAATTGTGGGGTCAATGGTGAGAAATATTGTAGCATGCTTCTATACCAGTGGAAATGTCCAAGATAACTTTGTAGGACAGGAGACAAGGTGGAGTGCTCTCAGAACACTAAAGAGGCTGGCATACAGAGCAATCTTTGCTAGTAGGGAAGATGCCCTTTGTTTTAACAGGAAAATTAGAATCTGGATACAAATGTAGGTGATTGTGTATGTCAACTGAGACAAAGCAGTCAGCTTAAGTGTATTACACTGGGTTTTCTAAACCTTATATTCTCTGCCCTCTATATTCTGTCTGTGTAACACTTTTCATGTTACTATTCCTTAGATTCAGTTCATTTCTTATCTACTTCACTGTCTTCAGAGAATAGCTGATGTTTCTGAAAATAAGTGAGAATTTCCTCATAACATTCTCACCTAATTTTTTGGTTTCATCTCTCAATAACCTTTGTCCTATAATACTTATTTCAATCAGGAATCTCTAAACTGTAGACAGTGGGCCAAATCTAGCCATCCATGTTGTTTTGTACATAAATTTTTGTTGGAACCAAGCAATAACCATTCTTTCATATGTTGCCTAAACCTACTTCATGCTGCGTTATTAGACATTAAGTTAAGACAAGACTATATGGTTCACAAAGCCTAACATATTTACTGTGTGGCCTTTTAGAGAAAAAAATGTGCTGATTTTAATCAAACTAAGCAAATTAGACTCTGACTTATTGAAAACAATATGGACTGCAAAGTTAGACAGATCTGAGATTGACATTGGGTTCCAGAAAGGTCATTGAAGTTTATTTTCCTGAATTTGTAAAATGAAATATAACACTGACTTTTCTTGTTAACCTAGCATGTATAAAGGACTGTGTTACTATCACACAGAAAGCCTTCAATACAAGCTACTTCCCCATGTGTCCTGTTTTTCCCTGCTCCTTTGTTTATTATGAATGGGCTTCATTTTTTTTCCTGTTTCACTTCCGTTTTTCCCTATCTGTTAGAATGCTACTCTGTGTGCCTCTGTAGTGAAAACTTTCCTGATTCCAAATATTTGCATTTGATTTTTCCCCCATGTCATGTGTTTTGCATTGCCTGTAAATTCAATAACATGTAGCAGTTACAACATTGCATATATCAGCTGTTGTACACTATAAATAATAAAATCAAAATAATTAACATTTGTTGCCTCTGCATATTATTACTACCTCACATGGAATAAGCACTAAATGCCTGTTATTTTTTGTGTCTGCATGTCCCCACAAAGCCTCACGCTATCATGGGTGCAGGCTTTTCAGAGGCAGCTGAATCTAGAGTTTGTAATTGGTTCATTGTCTAGTGGGGGTGTGAATGCTACAGCTGCTCTAGGGTGGGTAACCTTTGTAAAGTATAAGGGTCGGAAAAGAGGCTTGCTCCAATCCTTTTTGGTCTTGTTGCTTTTTCTGTCTTTCACCCCCATCAACTATTGCTTCTCTACCCCACCACCCTGCCTTGGAGCCAGGTGATTTCAGATTGAAACCTCCACAAACTGCGGGTGGGCCACATAAACCTTTCCTTACTTAACTTTGCATGTCAGGTATTTTGTCTCAGCATGAGAGAAAAGTAACTAAGACAGTGACTGCTTGTTCATACAATTGAATCAGTTTAAAAGAGAAAGGTCATGGTAGTCTACCATTTTAAGCAAAGACTTAATTAAGGAGCTCCCCTTAAATAAAAGGACAGGTGATATAAAAGAATATAGTGAGAAATTGGGGAAAATATAATGTTAAATAGAGCTTATAACTTTTAATTATCTGCTTTATAATTTGTAACTTGGATTTTTTGGTGATGGGTCCTAAACAGCTTAGCTGGGTTGTTCTGGCTCAGGGTCTTTCATAGAATTGCAGTTATGCTCCCAGATAGGGCTACAGTTTATCTGAAAACTTAACTGGCACATGGTCATTGATAGTAGGCTTTATGCCCTCACCATGTAGGATTCTCTGTTCACAATTGTTCACCCTAGAGGAAAGGATGAGAAAAGTGAGAGAGACAGAAAGACAGAGACAGAGATAGAAGAGAGAAAGAGAGAGATTACACGAGTGTAACCAAGACAACTGCTACAAAGATAGCACAATATGTTTACATTCTTAAGTTCACTGTACATATAGATACCAACCTAGTACAATGCAAAAGGGGTGTTTCTTAAGGTAAGACTGTTGGGCAGGCTGACCTCCAGTGCTCTATATCTGGGTAGTATTTATCCCAAAGGAAGTGTTTGCCTGTCCCTATGAATGAAACAGTTGTTATTTCAGTGCTAAGTTTTGAAACTTGTAGAGTGTTTTAAAGTCATATTATTCCTGTGACTGACTTTTGCTTAACTCCTACCTTGATTAAATGACCTTTGGTAAAATTGCAGTCATGGTCTGTACTACAAATAATTTCTAATTTTTTGTACATTCCTTTTTACCTTCCTGTTGAAATATGGATTTTTTTCCTTTTAATCATTCAGATGTTTGTCAAGATAAGGTGACAGAAGACAGAGGGACAGAACAGTTTTCAGCAGCAGACTCAGAAAGCCTGGGAGAAACTACTGATGTTCTAAATATGGTGATAACTTTCTATCTATCTAGATATTAATTTGATTTGAATTTTAGTTCATCATGTTTATGTTTGCTATCTATATTCTTTAAGAAGCTTCTGCTTTCTGTTTTATTTTGTTAATAACCAACTTTAGGTATAACTTATATAATAAAATTGTTTCTGTTACATCAGGATGGCAGCTGAGAGATGTTACTATCTGAAAAATTATGCATTCACTTTATTTATATGAAATATATGTATATGTAATTATACATATAGTCTATTTTATAACTTGTTTTTTATTTATTTCAGACACATATGATGAGCCTGAACACCAATGACAAGTCATTACAATTTTCACCAGTTCAAAAACAAAAGGTATAATACGGAGAGTTGTTTTTATTATAATGAATAAGAACAGTTTATTTTTCTTAGAAATATTTCTGGGAAGAACATAAGAAAGGTAAGCATTTACTTTAGTATTAAGAAAATAGAGGAGTACAATGTAAATGACCTCCTTTTGTCTTGTTCTGTTGGTATGTATTTTCTCTGCTACAATAAAATTGATAGAATTGCATTGTTGGGGTAGTTGCAGTGTTTTTATTTTTAAGCAATAGATTACAATTGCAGTTTTTATTTATATGAAGAGGCTACTATTTATAGGATTAGCTTGCTGACCTTGGTAGAATATGACTTTGATAGAAGATTGATTTTCCTGGATGATATTAACATCTTTTCTAGTTTAAAATGTTGTGGTTTTAGTGAAAAAATTTGGTAATCATGTTTCCAATTTTTGGATTTGGTTTTATGAAGGATTGAATAGCGTAGAAACAAGATTAAAGTAAATTTGAAAATTAAAGATCGCTCATGAATGAGAGAGTTTTAATTAATAACAAATAGCAAGAAGGAATAACCTGATTTTCATAATCCTGGAGAAATAAAGACCTGCCCTGAAATTCTTTCTTTTCTTGGCCTTCAGGGCCAGTGGAGAGAGATGATGAGGTGTTTGGGGATTAGGAAAATAAAGCAGGAAAATGTAAATTGAGGGTGAAAGGCTATAAAAAAACCATTTAATTATATTGCTAGCACATATGCTGTTATTCTATAAGTCCTGAAAACCAAAACCAATAAAAATTAAGAGAATCTTGCTAAATTTCTTGTGACTTTTCTTTTTTCCTGATACTCTGGGTTATACTAAGGGAAGGTGGATACATTTAGAAATGAATTCTGAAAGTTGAGCTTTGAACTATATTTCTTTGGAAAGAACTTTCAAGTTAAAAGACTAAAGAACAAAAAATAGAACAGTAAAGCACTTTTATGTATGCATATATATTATTTTTGTTGTTTATTGATACAATTTAGATATACATAGTGGTCACACTCATCATAGAGAACTTTTACCTGTTCATGATATATCTTAGTTCCCCGTTTCCTCCCTTTCTATCCAATACCTTCAACCTTTTTTCCCTTCCTAATTTATAAAACTTTATTTCCATTTTATCTTTTTTCCCCTCATTTTTAAATTATACCTTCCTTTCCTGTTCCCATTGTTTTGAACCAGTTTTTCCTGTTTCACAATATGTGTTATACTTTTTGATTATTTACATTTTCAACTTTTCCCACCAGAGACACAATGGGGTGTGTGTTGTGTGTGTGTGTTCCCCATAGTCTTTTTAGGCATTACTAGGACTTGTTTAACTGAGCTAAAGGTGTTTGTTATACAATACTATTACCATACTATCAATATATGTTAGCTTATTTGGTAATTTGTCCTGTTTTAATAATTTCTTGGGGGAAAAGATAAACCTCTTTGTAGGCCTTTTTCATCACATTTTATAAATTATACTTAGTAAGGTTTTACCACCCAGAGACCTAAATTTAGATCTTAATGTTTGCATTCAGTTTTATACAAATCTTATATTTTACTCTGAACATTTTTCGTTAGTGATTTTTTCATGTCAAGTTGTTATATTGAATATATCATAATAGATAAAAGCAAGAGAGTAAAAAATGTGAAAATCCATATAAAGATTTTGCTGAGAAAAAATGCATCCTTTATTACTTATTATATAATTTGAAGTGTTTATACTTTACATTTTAGTTGTTCTGTAGGAATCAGCTATTTGTTTAATTTTTATTTTTTTCTGTGAATTTCATGGGTTCAGGAAACCAAAATTATAAATGAAAGAAGGATACTGATAGTATAAAACATGCTGAGCTGCAAGAACAATGTAAATTTTAAAAAGTAATCTTAATAAAACAGTCTGGAAATGAATCATATCTGTATTAATTCAGATTAAGGGGCAGAGATAAATGTTAATTGTATTGTGATTAATGGAGAAATTAATGCAGGTATTAATAATTGAAAGTTAAACACATACATATTATTGAAACAAAATTAGATATTCCATAGACCTAGAGAGTGACATAAATTATTCCTAAAGAAAAGTAGACCTCAACAAAATGATTAGTAAAAGTAGATATTTTTGTTTTCTTAGTAAAACTTATAAAAATGTAAAATCTTGGCAGAAATACTTTATAGATAATGTTACTTTTGTGTATGGACAGTTATATGACAATTACTTCAAAACATTTACAGAAACAAGACACAGTTGAGAAATTGATGCAGCGAACATCTTGTACTGAAAGTGATGATAGCAATGAATGTGAAAATGAAGAGTTATCAGAAATGAAAGAAGGGAAAGCACATAAACAGGTAGTGAAAGGGATCCTCATGATGCAAGAATCTGAGACTTCAGAAGCAGAAGGAAGTCCTTCCCCATCCTTTTCAGATGAGGAAGTAGATAATGGCTCAGACCAGGGGGGGCTTCAGATCCACACCAATGAAAGCTGTATGCAAAAAGAGGTATTTAGTCATGAAAATAAAAGCAGTGTTGATCAACTTGATGCTAAAGAAATAGAAAAGGAAAATGATGGACAAGAAATAATGTCTGAGAAGAAAACAGAGCTGGTGGAAGTGGCAGGTCTGAATGATATAAGAGAAGGGGAAGAGAATCTAAAATGTGTGAAATCTGATATATTATATGATGATTTATCAGATAACGACATGAATACTGAGAAGGAAGAACTTGAGGGTTTTGTTAAGGAAAGGAAAAGTAGAAAGCAAGATATGATCTTTGACAGTGAAAGAAAATGCATAGAAGAGCCAGAGAGTTATGTGAAATATGAAAGCCACATTCAGCGGAGGAAAGTTGACAGTTTCCTGCAGCCCAGGTCAATAGAATTTGGTAGTGAAGATGATGATGAAGTTGAAACTGACCTTAATTTGTGGCTCCAAAGACAATTGAACAAACAAGAACTTGATTCTAAATTCAGATCATCAAATTTCATGGCCCAATATAATTTTAAGTATAACGACTTGCCAGTGATACCAGAGGAAGAGGAAGAAGCAGAGAATTTAGAAGAAATCATAGTCAAGGAGCAAGTGGTAGAGGCACATAAGAAAATTGTGGAGGTTCAAGGAGGAAGAAAAGAGGAAACAGAAACCCTGTCAGATGACTATACAGACAGAACAGAGGTGAGTGAAGGCAAAAGAGAGTTAGGGGGAGAGGCAAAGGACTGGACTGAAGATGGAGGCGACCAAATCTGTGAAGAGGGTAGATCAGGAGTAGAACAGTGGCACAGGGATGAGGGGCATAAAGACAAGGCAGCAGCAGAAATAGAGAACAGATTGTCTAAGGAAGAGAAGGATCTAGATGAGGAAGACAAATGGGAAAAAGAAGATGATGAAGAGCAGGAGAAATTGGAGAGAGGTAGAGGGTACCAGGAAGGAAGAAACCAAGGGATAGAAGAAAGAGACGTAGAGGAGCCAGGAGAGGGTGAAGAAGAGGAGGAACAAGGGGAGGAGAAAAAGGGAGGAGGAAAAGAAAGAGAAGGGGCAGAAAGAGCAAGTGAAGAAGAGGAAGAGGAAGAAGAGACAGGGAGGGGAAAGAAGGAAGTGGGGAGAGAGGCTAAAGGTGATATAGAGAAGGAAAGAAATAGAGAAAAAGAAGGAGAGATGAAAGAAGGAGAAAGGGAAGGAGGGGAAGAGGAAGGAGAAGGAGCAGAAGGTGAGGAAGAGGAAGGAAAGGGGGAAGAGGAAGGGGAGAATGAAGAAGAGGAAGAAATTAGGGCAGAGGAAGAAAGGGGTGATGAGGGAGATGAAGAAACAGAGGAAAGAGAGGAAGAAGTGGAGGAAAGAGAGAATAAAGAGGAAGGAGAGTGGAGAGAGGGAGAAATAGATGAAGAAGAAGGAGAAGGGGAGGAAAAAGAGGAAGGGGAGGAAGGAGAAAGGGGAGAAGGGGAAGAAGAAAAGGAAGGAGAGACAGAAGGGGAGGAAGAGGGAGAAGAGGAAGGGGAGGAAGGAGAGGGAGAAGGGGAGGAGGATGGGGAAGAGGAGGAAGAAGAGGAAGGGGAGGAAGAAGAGGGACAAAAGGAGAAAGAGGGGGAAGGGGAGGAGGAGGGGAAAGGAGAGGAAGAAGAGGAAGAGGAGGAAGAGGAAAAAGGGGAGGAAGAGGGAGAAGGGGAGAAAGGGAAAGGGGATGAAGGAGAGGGGGAAGAAGAGGGGGAGGAAGGAGAGGGGGAAGGGGAGGAAGAGGGGGAAGAGGAAAGGGAGGAAGAAGGGTCTGAGAAAGGGGGGGAAGAGGAGGAGGAGGAGGAGGAAGAAGAGGAAGCGGAGGAAGAAGGACAGAGGGAGAAAGAGGGGGCAGGGGAGGAAGAAGGGGAGGAAGAGGGGGAAAGGGAGGAAGAGGGGGAAGGGGAGGAAGGAGAAGGTGAGAAAGAAGGGAAAGGAGATGAAGGAGAGTGGGAAGGGGAGGAGGAGGGAGAAGAGGAAGGGGAGGAAGGAGAGGGAGAAGAGGAGGAAGAGGAAGGGGAGGAAGGAGAAAGGGGAGAAGGGGAAGAAGAAAAGGAAGAAGGAGAGGAAGCAGAGGGGGAAGGGGAGGAAGAGGGAGAAGAGGAAGGAGAGGGGGAAGGGGAGGAAGGTGAGGGAGAAGGGGAGCAAGAGGGGGAAGATGAGGGAGATGAAGGAG